GGCATATGCATAAAAGCTTAGGAGAGCTCAACTTCAGAGAAGTTTGCACTCCATCATCTGCTACTTCTGGCCACTAGCACAGACTGGTCATTGTTTTCCTGGTTGTGCAGGTACCAGCCACCTGTGTACAACCCTGATCTGCCTTCTGAGCCTGTGAGCGGCAGCTGTTCTCTTTACCAGCTCAGTGAATACCTGTCCCCCTGGAGAGGCTCTGCCTCTGAAGGGTGGAGATAGAATTTACGTTCTTCAGAGATCAACAAGCAGCTTCAATTAAATTGCCTCGCTAGCCAGTGAATAGTCCTGATGAGAAGACTTCGAGAGCAGCCTTGAGACTACTAATGCCAACTTTTTCCTCTTCAGGTCAGAGGTTTTAAGACTCCGCATTGAAAATGCAAACTCAGTCGCCGATGGTCATTGTGAGTCAACCTAACCAAGTGATAGTCCAGAACTCCAACTGGCAGACCGGCTTGTGTGATTGCTTCAGTGACTGTGGAGTCTGTAAGTATGTGGGAAATGATTACTGTGGAGATGAATTACCAATGACCCAAGTCATCCCCCAAATCCTCCCTTAGTGTGTAGTCAAGTTCTAATTTATTATAGCCACCCCAGAGGTCAGGAAATGGTATCTTTAACAAAAAAGGCTCTGTGTGCTTGTGATTCGTTCTTTCCACCCCTTCGAAGAATAGTCTACTCCTCAAGTAAGTTCTAGAGGTAAGATTACAGCAACAGAGATTGAGCCTAACAAAGAACAGGCCTACCTAATGATTAAAAATAGACCTTTCATTAATTAAAGGAACATTCCACATTTAAGCTATTTTTTTTAAAAAGACTGCTCTTGTTACACATAAATTAAACTCATTATTTTACAGTTACATTACGTCCAGTCCACAGAGGATCGATTTCAGCATGAGCTCAAGGAAAAACTATTTTAATTTCTACATTTAGGTTTTTTATATACCTGAGAATAAAGAATCCTAAAAAACAATGAACTCGTCATTGGGGAAAATATCTCTGCCTCTGCTTTGTTTTCTAAAATCTCTGTCTGTGAGATCTCTCTGAGAGATCTATCTCTAAGTAAACATGGAGAAAAGGAGGTTTGGGGGTGAGATAGGAGTGGCAGAGAGGATCGAGGGGCTTTAGTTCTCAATACCAGCCAAGAAACAAAACCCACTTGCTGAACATTTGCTCCGAAGTCCACTTGCCTGTCTCGTGTCCACGCAGGATTCTGAGGCAAAGAAAGACCATGCATTATACTTTCTCAAAAGAATTATTTATTTAATTCCATTTGTTATTATTATTTTTTGATTTGACCAGAGAGGGACAGAGAGAGAAAGGGAAAACTACTTTAATTTGCCACGGAATTGAACTTTGACATGAATCGAGTTAATAATTACACCGAGAAGTGCAGATGGGGGAAATGGCTAGGAAATGATACAATTAGGTTTGTTTATTCATTCTCAGGTCTTATAAATAGTCTGGGATGATGACTTACGATTCTGAGGACATTCGTTCAACATCTGCAAATCAAAGTGATAACTAGACAATGTTAGTACCACGACCATTTTAACCACCCGCCCCTACTGTTATTACCCAGTTAAATGAATACACACATTCTAATACGAGCTTTCTTACTTCATGGTAGATTTTCTTAAATGTCGATCTGGCCAAATCATCCTCCCTGGTTAAAATATTTCAGTGGTTCCTCATGAATTTGATGAGAAACTGAACACTCACATTTCTTCATCTTCTGCTCCCCACCTTACCTAATCCCCCACCCCACATCTCCCTCTCATCCCAGGTCCCCAGCCATGCAGAATGAGCTCCAGCATTTGTCAGGACTCGCCAAGCTCTCTTGAAGAGGGGCTTTTCTCTTTGTCCACTTTTTTAAAAAAAGAATTATTTTAATTTTATTTATTTATTTTAATTTGACCAGAGAGAGACAGAATGAGAGAGAGAGAGAGGAAGTGAGAAAGCAAGCCACTAGGTCCAGGACTCAAACCTTAGTCGGCCATGTAGGAGTCCAGTGCCCTTAACCACCACACTACCTGGCAGCCCCCCTTTTGTCTACCTTTGAAGCTCCTAATCATCCTTAATGATTAACTTACACAGCATTTCCTGCTTGGGGCCCTCTGGGCCCTATTTCTTGGGGTGAGCCCTTGGCAGCTAGGCTGGCTTCCGTTGGGGAATTATTCCTGTCATGTCTTCCTCCCAGACCTCAGTCAGGGACCTGGCTAGTATTAAGGACGAGGTCTGAACCTGGCTAGGTGTTTGGAGTCCGTGAATGAGTGAATAAAGCGGCACTATGGAAAGAATGACATGGGGACAGTCACGCCTTGCTCTAATTTGAATATGCCCCACCCCACCCAGTTCATGTATCAAGCGTGGGAAAACTCCTGATGTATTTTTGCAAACAAAAAAAAATGCATCATGACTTTTTTTTCCACAACCCATATAATGAGAGTAAGACGGTGAGTACTCGACCCAGTTACGAGTGAAAAGTCGGGGGCTTTGAGAAGAGACTAGGATGCAGATCTCTAGGGCAGGGCCTCGTGATCGAGTTCTGGGGTTTACAAGGAGACAGGTGAGACCAGAACAGGGAGACTTGGGGACGCGTCTCTGCTCTGCGCTCACCCTCATGGTCCTGACTGCGGGGTGCCCACCAGACGAAGCCCCTGGACCCTGGACCTCCAAACAGTTCGCAGAATAACTCTCTCCTTTTAGAAATCACCCACTTTCAGGTAGTCTCTGTTTTTAGCAACAAAATGGACTAGAACATTCCTGAAAGGAGTTGAGGGTGGAGGGAATGCAAGGCTGGACGGGAGCTCTGAGGATGGTGCTGCAGCAGAGCCTGCACAGGCGCAGTGACCTGGGGGGGGCCCTTCCTGAGAGCAGGCTGTGGGCTCCCAGGAACGCAGTGCATGACCTGCCTGTTTTCCGGTACCAGGTCTCTGTGGCACGTTCTGCTTCATATGCCTTGGCTGTCAAGTTGCATCTGACATGAATGAATGCTGTCTGTGTGGAACAAGCGTCGCCATGAGGACACTCTACCGGACCCGATACGGCATCCCGGTGAGTCTCCTGTGACCCTGCAGTGTTCACTACGCAACCACACTCCAAATAAGTGTCCTCAGCCTGGAGGCCATTGGATGGTGTCAGTCTCTGCATTTGATTGGTAGAAGGTTCCTGGCAAGTGCAAGTTTGTATTCAGTTGTCTTAGCAACAAATACTCTGGTTGCATGAGCTCCTTCCAGGCTCTTGAAAACCCTGGAAAGCTAGGGACCAGCCAGAGGCTTAAGACTCACGTCAGGTGTGTGTGTGTGTGTGTGTGTGCCCAAAATCCCGAGAGGAGACTGAAGGAGAAGGGACTGTGGCACAGCCATTCCCCCTGGGGAGTATTCCTCATTTTCTGTCTGTCTCTTTCTCTTGTGCTCACCCTATAACAGAAATCTCACCCCTGCTCCCCCCCCAAAGAAAAGGAAAGAAAAAGAAGAAAACCTTGAAAATTAATAACCTCACATTTGCCATGTATGTATGTATGTCAAGCAGTGGAAGAGGATGATTTAGAACCTGCTATGCCCCGGTGCATTACATACGTTACCTCACTCCATCCTCATGCCATCCCAGAGAAGTGGGTAGGTCTACGACATTTGACAGATGAGGACGTCAACGTTTTCAGAGGTGGAGTCATTTACCCCAAAATATTTAATATTAGCAGAGAAAAAGTCAGTTGTCGGTTCTAACTTTCCACACATGCACCTCCCGTGTACCATTTTGTGTAGAGGGGGAGTACATCAATCAGGGTTCTCCAGAGAAACAGAACAGATAATATGGAGTGTGTGTGTGTGTGCGCGTGCGTATACACATATATACAGTCACGTGCTGCTTAACGATGGGGGCGTTTTCTGAGAAACGTGTTGGTAGGTGATTCATCATGGTGCAAACATCCTGACAGTACTTACACAGATCTAAAGGCCAGATCCTACTGCACACCAAGACTACGTGGTATACCTGTCGCCGCCATCACTGTGAATGCAGTTCCTTTGTGTGTGTGCCCAAAATCCCGAGAGGAGACTGAAGGAGAAGGGACTGTGGCACAGCCATTCCCCCTGGGGAGTATTCCTCATTTTCTGTCTGTCTCTTTCTCTTGTGCTCACCCTATAACAGAAATCTCACCCCTGCTCCCCCCCCAAAGAAAAGGAAAGAAAAAGAAGAAAACCTTGAAAATTAATAACCTCACATTTGCCATGTATGTATGTATGTCAAGCAGTGGAAGAGGATGATTTAGAACCTGCTATGCCCCGGTGCATTACATACGTTACCTCACTCCATCCTCATGCCATCCCAGAGAAGTGGGTAGGTCTACGACATTTGACAGATGAGGACGTCAACGTTTTCAGAGGTGGAGTCATTTACCCCAAAATATTTAATATTAGCAGAGAAAAAGTCAGTTGTCGGTTCTAACTTTCCACACATGCACCTCCCGTGTACCATTTTGTGTAGAGGGGGAGTACATCAATCAGGGTTCTCCAGAGAAACAGAACAGATAATATGGAGTGTGTGTGTGTGTGCGCGTGCGTATACACATATATACAGTCACGTGCTGCTTAACGATGGGGGCGTTTTCTGAGAAACGTGTTGGTAGGTGATTCATCATGGTGCAAACATCCTGACAGTACTTACACAGATCTAAAGGCCAGATCCTACTGCACACCAAGACTACGTGGTATACCTGTCGCCGCCATCACTGTGAATGCAGTTCCTTGTTGACAGAAACGTCATTATGGAAGGCGTGTGTACATGCACACCCAAAACCCCAAGAGAATGGAGAGGAGATTGTGGCACGACCATCCCCTTGGGGGGTGATTTCTCACTTTCTGTCTGTTTCTTTCTGTCTCTCCAACAAGCGCAGACACCCTATATTAAAAATCTCTCTCTAAAAATTTTAAAATAGAAGCTGTAGTATCTACCCATCTCCCTCCTCCTCCTCCTCCTGCAGAGCTGATTCCTGTGGTTTTTCCTCCATATCTCCAAATGGTGGACTTGGGTGGTTACTTCTTAACCTTTTAGTTTGGGGCATTATCTACCCCTCCCCCACTATGGAAGATGAGAATTTAGCTTGCTCCTTCTTCCCCAGAACACACCTGCACCCTCCCTCAACCTCACTCCTTTTAATAAAATCATACATAATTTTGTTTAATTCCATATCCAGTATTTGCAGTATGATAACTGTATTTGCTTTATTCAAATTTAGGGTTGAGTCATGTGGTGAATATGATCATTTTGTTTTCCTGGTATCAATAACTGTTTTTTTCTTAATGCCAGAGGGCACATGCACTCATCTGGCGTGGGGAGAAACATCCCCAGTGGGGTGTGGTCACTCCACAATCCCTTCTCTTCCATTTTTCTCTCCTGTTGAAATTCCAGGCACACACATGCATGGTGTGTTCAAGTCACTGGGTGTGGAGGACGGGATTTGAACCATGATTAGCCATGTGGCCATTAACCACTAGGCTACAGAGCTGGCCTTTGCTTTCTTTCTTTCTTTCTTTCTTTTTTTTTTTTAGAAGTAGTTTTTCTCCATTTAATTATGAATACTTAAACTCCAATTCCTTGCCAGCTTTCTGTTGGGTTGTCAGAAGTCATGACCCCTTTTTGCACAGAAAAACATGGAAAAAAATACATCATGACTTTTCTGAAAACCCAATATATCTTTTTCCAATACATGTAACACATAGATGTTCTATCATTTTCATCTTCTTAATGAAATCTCTCTAATTTTAACTTAATTTTATTTATTTTTATTAATTATTCTTTTTTATTATTATTTATATATTTAATTGCTATACATCATTTAGATTGTAAAGAGACTTAACTCCTGGTGCTTAGCTTTCATCCTGGGATCTCTCTTCACCATGACCCTGGAGAGTCCATGAGTTTCCCTCCTGTGTTAAACTGTTTCTTTTCTTTTTCTTTCTCTCTTTCTTCCTTTTTCTTTCACTTTCTTTCTCTCTCTTCCTTTCTTCCAATTGTTAGAAGGCACATGTATTCTCCAGAGACAGTGTTGGTGATGGGGTGGAGAGCACCCCCTAAACGGACATGGTCATGCCACAATTCTTTCTCTTTCATTTCTCCATCCTATCAGGACTTTGGGCACACATATACAGGTACCCAGCATGTTTTTAAACCCCTGCGACTGGAATTCAAATTGTAGTCGGCCTTGCAGGACTCAGCTCCCTTTAACCAGTAGGCCATCGGGCTGGCCCAGACTCTTTTTTTTCTTATATCCCATCTCTTCGTCTTTGTTGGTTTACTCCTTCATTTTGGTCAAGTACAACTCCAAGTAGCTTCTTGAGACAGAAAGCGTGTGGTAGAAAAGAATTTTGAGATTCTATTTCTAAAACTCTCTGTTCTACCTCTACTTGATAATTTTGTTGGATATTGTCTTATATCTTCAGAATTATAAAGTATAAGCAAACATTTTATGTCATAAGAAAGAGACAAGTTTACATGGAAAAATAGTTAACATGTCCTAAATGTATTCATCCAAACTCTGAATCCAAAGGATCCTGCTGGCATGATGGTTGAGGCACTGGATTGCCACGTGGACAACTGTGATTTGAGTCCTGGACTGGCAGCTTAAAAATCATGTTGGGCGCTTGTGTGTGTGTGTGCTGAAAATCCCAGAAGGAGAACAGAGAAGGGATTGAAGTGTGGTCATCCCCCCGGGGAATGATTTCTCACTGTCACCCTCTGTCTCTCTCAGGCAAGCATACACACCCTATGGCAAAACCTAAAAAACAGGGACCAGCAGTTAGCATAATGGCAATGTCACTGAACTCCCACATAGTCGACCACGGTTCAAGTCCCAGACCTGGTGGCTTAAACTCACGCTGGGTGCATGTGTGTGTGTGCCCAAGATCCCGAGAGGAGAATGGAGGAGAAGGGATTGCGGTGTGGCCACCCCCTCTGGGGGGTGATTTCTCGCTTTCTATTTCACTGTTTCTCTTTGTCTTTCTGGTGAGCTCATGTGCCCAATAAGAAAAAAAAAAAAGCAAAACAAGACCAAAAAAAAAAAACTCTCCAAAAAAAAGAAAATAAATAAATAAATAAAAAGCAAAAAACAGAGGACCCGCATCTCTTCAAATCCACAAGTCCTAATTTTGAAAAGGTGATCTTTACAATTCTGTTTCTTTTATATTTTCCAACAGGGATCTCTTTGTGATGACCATATGATGACATTTTGCTGTCCTCATTGTACTCTTTGCCAAATCAAGAGAGATATCAACAGAAGGAAGGCCATGAATGCTTTCTAAAAAACTGATGGTGAGTCATTGCAAACCTTCCTCTTAGAATCTGTGCATTTTTAGAAATATGAGTAAGGGTTTTGTAATTATTCATTGTTTTGAATAATAATTCAGTGATACCAATTCCTTAAGCCTCCCAAAGCACTATTTTTATAAAGAAGACAGCTCTGTACTTTGAAATCCTATTTTAGCAATAAGAGAATGGGGAACTTACTGAACTTCTCAGTATTCTGTTGGTTTATTTTATTTTATTTTATTTTTTGAGAGGTTTTCGATATAGGGCATGTGCATTCATCAGAAAGACAGAGAGACAGAAAGTGAGAAATCATCCCCAGGGGGAATGGCCATGCTGCAATCCCTTCTTCTCCATTCTCCTCTCGGGATCTTGGGCATGCACACACACGTGCCTGGTGTGAATTTAAGCCACTGGGTCCAGGACTCAAACTGCAGTCAACTACATGGGAATCCAGTGACATAGCCATTATGTCAACTGCTAGTCCCTTTACTGGTTTATTTATTTATATTGGGGGAGGGGGGCGGTTTGCTATAGGACGAGTGCACTCGCCAGAAAGACAGAGAGACAGAAAGTGAGAAATCACCCCCCAGAGAGGATGGCCACAACGCAATCCCTTCTTCTCCATTCTCCTCTCGGGATCTTGGGCATGCATGCATATGCAGCCGGTGTGAGTTTAAGCCACTGGGTCCTGCACTTGAGCCATGGTCAAATACATGGGAGTCCAGCTACATAGCCATTACACCAACTGCTGGTCCCTCTGTTGGTTTATTAATGAGGCACTTACCACCAAGATACAAAAGAAGTAGAAAACGTGTGTCCTGATAAAACTAGCAAACTGGCAAAGGAAACTGGTATTTTTTAAAGGAATTATTTAATTTTATTCATGATTATTATTATTTTAAATTTGACCAGAGAGAGAGACAGACAGAGAAAGGGAATAAGAAAGCAAGCAGCCAGATCTATGACTTAAACTGCGGTCAGCCATGTGGGATTCCAGCACCTTAACCACCATGCCACCTGCCAGTCCTGATACTGGTACCTATTTATAAGTGGCAGAACAAATGATAATTCCATGTTGTGTAACACTCAGATGGATATGAAGCATCTATAGTAAAGTGAGGTTAAGCCGAAAAATCCTGTTGGAGAGGTAGATATGAAATTTAGAGTATTTGAAATGTTATCTAGAATTTCACCATTTGAAATGTATCAAGTAATTTTCAACGCTTTTCCTCAGGATTGGCTATTGAGGATGTAGCTAAGTAGAGCCCAACATGATGTGGCCAGCCACAGAGGTACAGCAGGGAGACGGCCCTCCACGACGGTGGCTAGGGCGCCAGACCCACACGGGAGTGTCTTGCATTCACATGCTAGTGTCTCCCTGCTCACGCGGTCACACGCACCTGTGTCCGTGATCCTGGCTAGCTGGGCCCAGGGGTGGATCGCAGTGTGAAGACCCTGTTGGGGATGCCTGTCTCTCTGCCTCTCTATCTCTCATGGAGGAAATTTTTTTTTTGAGAGGTTTTTGCTATAGGGTCCGTGCGCTCGCCAGAAAGAGACAGATAGACAGAAAGCAAGAAATCACCCCCCAGGGGGGATGGCCACGCCGCAATCCCTTCTCCTCCATTCTCCTCTCGGGATCTTGGGCACGCACACTCATGGGTTCGGGACTTGAACTGCTGTCAACTACATGGGAGTTCAGTGACATAGCCATTATGCTATGACTACATTAATGACATAGCATTATGCTGGGCTTCCCATTGGCTGAACCAACCCTCCAGAAATGCAGAGGGCAGGGGAGTATAGCCCTAGCCCACTGGTCAGTCTCCCAGGGCTTAGAGCAGGTGGATGAGGGTAGCAGTGGATCACTTGCACAAATAGGAGGTCAATGGCAAGGTGTGATTTTAATTTGTAGACATAGAATGTTTCTTCTTTTTTTTTTTCTTTTTAGAGGTTTTTGCTATAGGGCACGTGCACTTGTCAGACAGAGACAGAGAGACAGAAAGCGAGAAATCACCCCACAGGGGGGATGGCCATGCCGCAATCCCCTCTCCTCCATTCTCCTCTCAGGATCTTGGGCATGCATGCACACGCGCCTGGCGTGAGTTTCAAGCCACCAGGTCCGGGACGCGAACCGTGGTTGACTACGTGGGAGTCCAGCGACATAGCCATTACCCTAACTGCTGGTCCCTAGAATGTTTCTTCTAATCAGCAACAACATCAGAATGGAGGAGAAGGGACTGCAGTGTGACCATCCCCCCTCGGGGGGTGATTTCTCACTTTCTGTCTCTTTTGCTCTCTCTCTCTTTGGCAACTGCACGCACCCTATAGCAAAATCCTCTCAAAAACAAAACAAAACAAAACAAAAACAAAAACAAAAAAAACATGTAGTTTCAGAAAATTCAACACTATTTTTTGTATGTTCCTTTTAGGTGAAGAGCTCTTTTGAAGCAACCAAAATTAGCAGGTGCCTCTTCAGTTTGAATTCTTTTCCACCTTTTGCAATTGAAATACGATGGATGTGTTTAATTGTTGACATGAAAAAAAAATCAAATTTGTGATTTATTTTAAATGAATGTTGTCCTTTAGTTTTGCTAAGTGTCCCGCATAGTTTCCCCTTGCTTTCAAGTTACCAAATTTTCTAGCTTACAAATTTTTAAAATTACATTTAAAATGCAAACCAAATAAAAGATTTTACTAACAAGATTATTATTCTTTATTTTATTTTTTTAGTGCCAGAGGTTGTATGCATACATGTGTACTTGAAAGAGAGAGAGGGAGAGAAAGCAACCCCCCAATGGGGCCTTGTCATAGTGCAGTCCTTTTTCCTTCAATTTTCCAATCCATCAGAATCCTGGACACATGCCCAGTGTGTTAGCCACGGGGGCCAGGACTCAAACCATGGTAGGCTGTGTGGGATCCAGCAACCTCTGTATCACGCTTAACCACCATTTTATGGGACTGGCCCAGCAAGATTCTTTATCCTTCTGTGCACTCAGCCTTTGTCACTGGTAAATATCATAATTTTGCTCTCCTAGTTTGGTTTCTTAGCATGAGATCCTGATGCTCCTCGGTCAGGGAGGCCCATTGAGGTTGACAAAATGAAGGCATCAATCTAGACAAATCCACATTACAAGACACGAGAGTTTGCAAAAACACTGAACATCCATTCGCAAACACTCTAAAATAGAAGTCTAGTATATGAGGCTCATTTATGGTGGGAAGAAGCCAGGATACGTAAACAAGCTTGATATTTGGGTTTCTCATGAACGCAAGTTCATTTGACGGCACATATAAACCTCTGTGATAAACTCATTGAACGTAACGAGAAATCCTTTTCTGAAGTAACTGATAACGTGATGAGAAGCGGATTGATGAGAAGATGGTCTTGGTCCCCACATGATGATTTGCCTCAAAAGACACCGAAAGCAGACCTTCATCAGAGGAAGATGAGTTTTGCTCTCAGTGTGGTGGGATTTTAAAGGTGTCATGGTTTTTGAGCTCCTACCAAAGAAATGAGCAATCACTTTGAACTTGTCCTATTTGAACGAATCCATCATCCAGAAATGTCCAAAGCTGGCTGATCGTAAGAGTTGTGTTCCATCATGAAAACACAAGACCACACACATGTGGTCACCCATCAGCAATTACTGGAACTTGGCTGGGATGTGTCGCCTTACATGCCATACTCACCTGACCTTGTGCCATCAGATTTGCCCTTGTTCTCTCTCTTCACAACTCTCATGTGGTATAAAGTTCAGTTCAGATGAGGCTATAAATCAACACCTTGTTCAGTATTTTGTTGATAAACATAGGTCCTTCTATGAACGAGGAATTGTGAAGCTCACTGAAAGATGGCAAAAGGTTATTGAACAAAACGGTTAATATATCATTGATCTTCACTTTTTATGTAAATGACCTTTGAAAAAATATAGAAAAAATACATCATGACTTTTCTGAAAACCCAGTATTTCTCCTCACAGTTCTAGCAAAGTTGCCTTTCATAGATGCTATTATTGGCAGACTGGTTTGTTTTGTTTGGTAGTTTTTTTTTTTTTTTTTTGGAGAGGTCTTTTTTGTTTGTTTTTGCTACAGGGCACATGTGCTCGCCAGACAGACAGAGAGAGACAGAGAGACAGAAAGCGAGAAATCACCCCCCAGGGGGATGGTCACGCCGCAATCCCTTCTCCTCCATTCTTCTCTTGGGATCTTGGGCACGCACGCACATGTGCCGGGCGTGAGTTTAAGCCACCGGGTCCAGGACGCAAACCACAGTCAATTACATGGGAGTCCAGCAACATAGCCATTACGCTGACTGCTGGTCCCTTGTTTGATAGATTTTTGGTATAGGGCGTGTGTACTCGCCAGAGACAGAAAACGAGAAATCACCCCCCTCAGGGTGGATGCCCACACCACAATCCCTTCCCCTCCATTCTTCTCTGAGGATTTTGGGCATTGCAAACATGCAGATCTGGCATGAGTTTGAAACTGCTGGGTCCAGGACTCCAATTCTGGTCAACTACATGAGAGTCCGGCGACATAACCATTACGCCATCTGCTGGTCCTGGCAGGCAGGTTTTATTTATTTATTTTTAATTTTTTATTTATTTATTTTTTTATAGACCACAGATTATTTTTAACACCCATCATGCCATGAATTCATAGAGAATAATTTCCAGTAGCTCAGGCTCCTTTCCATTGGTTCTCACAAAGTGTGCTTCTCTGGGTGGAGCAGCCTGGCGCTTCAGTTGAACCCAGGTCCCTTTCTCTTTGGCTTCTTTCTTTTTCTGGTCATTTTCCTTCACACGTTTTAGGAAGCTATCTCTGCTCTTAGAATGTTTAATATGTTCAATACGCACATTGATTCTCTTGGTAAGAATCTTGCCTTTAACTTGTTTGTTCACAACAATAAGCATTTGAGAATTCCTTTTCACTCTCTCTTGGCATAGCATTATACTTCTCAAAAACAAAACAAACTTCAGTGGTTGTCCTAGAGCTTGAGATACACATTACAACTAAGTTTGCTTTCAAAGGACACTACACTACTTCATGATATTGCAGCTATTTATTTTTTAGAGAGATTTTGACTATAGGGCACATGCACTTACCAGAGACAGAGAGAGACAGAGTGACAGCAAGTGAGAAATCACCCCCCAGGGGGGATGGCCACGCTGCAATCACTTCTCCTTCATTCTCCTCTTGGGATCTTGGGCACACATGCACACCCACCCACCATGAGTTTTAAGCCGCCAGGTCTGGGACTTGAACCATGGTCGACTACATAACCACCAACATAACCATTATGCCATCCGTTGGTCCCAGTGTAGATATTTTTTAGCAGAGTATTCCCAGTTCCTTTTTCTTGTCCTTTATAACACTGCCATCATTCTTTTTTTCTTTTTTTTTTTTTTTAAGTATTTGCCAGAAAGCAGGTATGTTAGCCAGAGAAAGGAAGAAAGGGAGGGGAAAAAGGAACCACCAATGTGGTGTGGCCATGTTGTATCCTTTCTGCCTTACTTCTCCATCCTGTTGGAACACGAGCACCCCGCGTGTTTTTCAAGCCACTGAGGCCAGGACTCACAATGTACCTTTGGTCATGGGGACTCCAACTCCCTTAATTAGTAGGCTACAAAGCCAACCCATGTCATTCATTTCACCTTTCTGTGTGTTTTAATCATCCACACCTTGTTGCTATTACTCCTTTGAACAGTTATCTGTTAGAGCAGTTAAAAAAATTTAAAAACAAAAGATTGTTTTACCTTTATTTCTGCCCTGATCTTCTTGCTTTGTGTAGATCCTTTTTTTTTTTTAAGAATTATTTTTATTATTGTAATTTTATTTATTTAAATTTGACCAGAGGGACAGAGTGAGAGAGAGAGGGAAAGTGAGAAAGCAAGCCAACAGGTCCGGGACTCAAACCACAGAAGGCCATGTGGGAGTCCATGGTGCTTAACCACCACGCCATCTGCCGGTCCCTACTTAGTGTAGATATGAGTTTCTAATCCACATCATTTTCCTTCTCTTTGTAAAACTGAACATTTTTTGCAAGGCATGTCTCCTGGCAAAAAATTCTGTTGGCCTTAGTTGAGACAGTCCTTATTTCTCCTTCATTTTTAAAGGATAATTTTGCTGCATAAAATGTGATCTTGGTGGTTTTCTTCCAACATCTTAAATACTTCCACTACGTTTTTTTGTTGTGCTTTCTTTTGTATAGAAAAATAGGTCATGACTTTTCTAACAACCCAATAGATCTGTGGCATGTCTATCATGGATTTTGGGAAATTCTTAGCCATTACTATGGCAAATATTTCTTCTCTTCCTCTTTTCTCTGTTATTGGTATTACACAAGAGGTATTTTATAATCATCCAACAGTTCCTGGAAGTTCTGTTCTGACATCATCCTTTTTTCTCTCTGCATCTTAGTTTGGAGAGTTTGTATTGACATATCTTTAAGCTCACCTTCTTTCCTCAGCCATGACCAGATGGAGGTAACCCATCAAAGGTATTCACTTTGTTTTTTTTCTTTTTAGTGTATTAGTATTTTTAGTATATTTAGTACTTTTTAAAAATTCCAAGCATTTCCCTACTTTGTATCTTTCTCTGCTTATAAAGCTATCTGTTCTTGCTCATCTATTTTTTTCCATTAGAGCCCTTAACATGTTCATCAGTTGTGCTAAGTTTCCAGTCTGGTAATTCATATCTTAGTCTGATTCTGATGCTTGAGATACTGTTTCAGATTGTGTTCATTCTTGCCTTGTAGCATGCCGAAAGTCAGACATGGTTTGACTGATGGGTTTCTAAGATGAGGGCCATATTAATCAGGGTAGCAGCTGGGCCAGGTTTCATGTCTGTTGTAGTGCCAGAGATTTCGTTTTCTTCGTTACATTTTTTTCGCTCTTCTGTTATGTTTGGGTTTCCTAAGAATTCCTTCCTAGAGTCTGCATCTTACAGCTGTCAGTCATAATCCAGGTATTAACATTATCCTGGAGCCCTGTTGATGGGGTAGTATTTAGGAAACATTTTATAATTTTACATCTTTGTTGTTTATTTGGCCCGAGTCCCTGGGCCATAACCTTCAGAAATATTTCTTCTCCCCCACCCCCTGCCATTATGTAAGACAAAACTGGTCAGGTATAGCCCTGATATAGTAGTTTCCCTTGAAAGGCCAGACCTTTGCTCTGGAAAATAATTTGGGTATATTTCAAAATATGAATAGTTACTTACCCCTCCCTTGCCCTAAACAAATATGGGATCTTGATAGTAACCATGAGAACCTGATAGGGTTCTCCTGGCAAATTCCTAGAAGTACAGAGGCTCTCTGAAGACTAGGCTCTTAGGAGTTTTTAACTCACGCTCGTCCACCCTCAGCCTCCAGCAACTTACTGCTCCCAGTAAGCTGATCTCAGATATGATTCTCTGTCTTTGCCCACCACTCCAGTTTTTGAGGTGGTGGCTTGTCCTGTGATTTCTGTTATTAGAAGAAGCTGAGAAGTCATTGCTTTTCAGTCTGTTCAGCTTCCTTCAGGTTGCTGTGAGCTTGGGTACAATGATTTCCAAGTTCTTCACATGTCAGAGCTCAAACTGCAGGTTACCCACATTTTTTAAAAGCCTTTTCCCTATTTTCTCAATAAAGCTCAACGGAAACAACCCCCTGAGGATAATTCTCTGACCTCTCTCTGCTCAATGAAGAGTTCTTCCCTCTGTGG